CTTCACTGTCACTTCATTTGATGCCAGTGTATTCCCTGGTTCAAAGTGAAAGCATGCAACAGATCCTTGAATGTCATCGTTGTAGTCACTTGCATGAAATTCTGTCCCTTTCTCTGCCACAACATTTTCAGGGAAAATGCTTCCTGAATTTAGGTAAGCCTGCAGAAGCTGATGTCTTTCTGCCAATGTAGCACTCAGGTTTTTGAAATTGTGCAATTTTCTGGCACACTGTTTAAAGTACGAGTGCTTACTCTCAAAACGCAGCGTCCACAAGCGAATGAGTGGACCAAAACGTTCAATGAGTTCAGGGTAATGGGACATGTAGTGGTGTTTCGGTTTAAGTGGATGACTTAGAAAAGACATCTTTCTAGTCTCAATATACTCTTCAATTAGAACTGCTAAATAAGCAATCTGACCGACTGTAATTACAGGAGCACAGATGAGCTCTGCTATTTGTCTAAGTTGAAGTATTAACTGCCACACCTCATTTTCAGTTGGATTGGCAATTTTTTCCCCTACCAAAAGAGGTAAAAACCTGAGCAGGCACCAATTTTGCACTGCATGTCCACTTAATTTCCCAGTACCCTGAGTAATGTTAGCTGGTTTATCACGTGCATCATTCCCCAGATACTTAAACTGGCTAATGCGGCGATTCAGTTCAGTGTAAGTGAACTGCATCTCTTGATTTACAAGGTGATCCACATACAAAGCAAGGTCAAATGACACAACACCTTCAAAAAGGTCATGTCCTAGACAGGGAGGTAATCCTGGCTGGCATACGTGAAAGTACTTTAGGTCATTAAATGGAGAATTGCATTTGACACCAACAGCAATTTCAGCTGCACCTGAATCCAAATCCCTAAGATTCTGTTCATATGACATTACAGTTCTCGTTAATGCCTTTGTCAGGGGTGCTGAAAGAAATGTTTGGCGGTCAATTTCACAAAATCTGCAGAAGTGGTTACTTCTACTGAAATTTTCCACAAAGCCACCAATGTAATGGGATCCAAGGTTATCTCCTGCTATTGCGCATAGTGTACCTTTGTGAACCTTTCCATCAGCTAACCGAACCCCATTTTCCTCGAGGTCTTTAAGATCTTGTACCAGAGTGGCAAAAACCAAATCCTGGCCAAAAAACTTAAAGTCTTGTTCCTTACACAGCAGAACTAGCTGCATGTGGTCAATTCCTGACCTGCAGTAAGGCAACAGGTTTCCAAGTGTCATGTAAACAGCAAGAATTTTGTGCTTTTTTTTGCCAGATCCAAGTGGGTTTGCCACTTCAAAAGCGTCTTGATACAAGATTAAAGCCAACGAATCTGTATCATCTTTTAACAGCACATTGTCATCAACATTACTGCCATCCCATACATCACTGAGGACATCATTTGCTTTAACTGTAGATCGTGAATTTTTATGTTGTTCTATAACTGATTTACAGCAGAACAGAGCTTCTAAGCTTTGCTTAATGGGAATGTACTGAGCAAAGCTTTCCTTGCCAGATTCGTTTTTACCAAGGCAGATGGGGACAGGTTCAACATACTTGAAATTGGCTTTATAGAAAGACTTTCTCCTCTTATCAGTGTGTAGTGTATGGGTATTACACATCCGAAAAAGATCATCAGTTTTCATAATGTCTACAACATTCTTTACATCAGTTTCAGAAATGCCAAGTGTAGTTAATTTTTCACTTACCATGTGTAGCAAATGAGACTGGCTAATATCATGGATGTCCTGCAGCCCCTCAATTACTGACTGAATTACAGATGATGGGAGAATGTGCTTTGCCTGCAATTTGAGATAAAACAGAGCCATATTCTTAAAAAAAAAGTGATTCATTTGCATTATCTGGCAATAGTGCAATATCCACCTGCTCTTCACTATCACCACAATCCATAAACAAATCAGACAGTGCATTTGAGTCTTCAGCCACATTGCATTCCTCACCATGTGGTCTCTGCACTGAAAAATTCAAATGTAGTATATTATGGCGAAACCTATCTGCTGAGGAGTTGCAGTGATACCTGGATATATGTGAGGTCAGTGTTGATGCAAAAGAAAAGCTTTTATTACACTTAAATGGGCAAGGCACTCTAGTGCCTTCTTTGATATGAGACTTCAGGTGTAAAATGAAGTTTCTTAAATCACTACATCTTTCCTGACAGACACCAATGTCACAGACTAAAGTGTAAGCATTACCTAATTGCTCAGCAGACGTCTTTGTGTCCTTCTTTTTGTGATCCCTGAATATATGAGCCTTAAAAGCAGCAAACTTTTTGAATCTTCTGGGGCAATCAGGAATACCACATTTAAAATAAGCATTAGGAACATGACTATGCATTTTCATGTGCTGACAGTATGATAAGACGGATTCAAATGCACTATCACAGAACTGACACCACATCATTTTTATGAACAAGTTAATTATAACTGTAAAATTAACTTTTAAGATTAACTTACGTTGGCGCTCGGTCGATCTTTATCAGATAAAGTAACTGCTGAAATATAAATGAACAGACAATCAAATGCAGGTCGTCCGAATGACAAAATAAAAGATAAATCAAAGTTAATTTGTGAGTAAGTTAGTTAAGAACAGACTGAACTATTCACTCGGGTTTTAACCTAACATTACGTGTAACGTTGCAGGCTAAGTTAACGTTACGTTAAATCACAACACTTATTTCGGGCATTAAAATTTTGATGTAACGTTAGATGTTCAATCGTCGAAAACGACAGGATTAACACGCCGATCAAAAAAATCTTCCACTCGTGCAAACAGAAATGCAATCGAATAAAACAGTCGACGGTGTCTTACCGTGTCAATGCTCAGGAAAACAATTATCCATCTGCTACCAACTTCATTTCTCTTCGTCACAGACAAAATGTATTATCTTCGTCTTTTTGCTGCATTATCCTGTCATTTTATATGCAACGTATATATTGTTCGTGCTTTAGTGGCACTGGCTCTGCTCACATTTTAAAGAAATTTAGCGCGAAGGAAATCAATCCCATAATGCAACATTTACAGCCTGATACTGTATTACGATTTTTGCGGGCTGAAAACAGAAAAATACTGTACATTTACAGCCTTTCTGTTAAATATACAGTCTGATACTGGTTTATAAAAATACAGTACAATACTGTTAGAAATTGCCTGTAAATTTACAGTAAAGTTTTACAGTGAGGGATGCTAAGGGCAGCCCCGTTTTACCTGTTATGTCAAAGAAAAACATAACGTTACCTTAATTATCTCACAATGGTTCCGAGGCGACGCTATAATTATTTCCGCAAAAAGGCTGCCGTTGTCAGCTGTTGATAGCTACCGATGATACAAAAGCACATCAGTGCAGCCTATTGGTCGCTCCGACACTCAGCACCCTGAGCTCAAAATATCTCCTCACGCCTATGGGCGTTACCTTCCAGATGTTCCTCGTCCTGTCCGCTTCCTTCATATAAATTCTGATTGGTCAGATTGGCCGAGTAAAAATCTATACTATAAAAAGTACAAATAATGTAAAAACTATAGCAATGTTTTTTTCTTTCCCAAGAATGAGAAATGATAAGAAATTACAAGGTTAGAAGTGTGGCTGCCCAACCAAAATTCTTGGCCGTCCCTCTTCAATCAGTAAGGGGGGCTGATGGTGACACCTGATCTCAGGCACACAGGAGCTCATCAAGTAGGACAGAAAACCTGCTGGATACCGGCATTGCAGGATCAGAGCTGCCTACCCTACGGTGCTGTAGCAGTCAGGCTATCTGGGTCCGTCTGATGTACCGTCAGATCAGTGCTAGATGGCCCTGGTGCAGAAAGCAGAAGGACATACATAGAAAATGCAGAATTATCGCTTTGCTAAACAACTGAAATATACTGAAGTAGAGTTAACCAAGTGTAACACAGGTAAAATAAGCCTGGTAAACTCATACATACATACATACATACATGCATACACACACACACACACACACACACACACACACACACACACAAGGTGCTGTACCTATATAAATGGGGACCTTCCATTCATTTCTATGGGGAAAATGCTAACGCTAACTATGACAACCTTAACCCCAACCCAGCCCTAACCTTAACCATAAGTAACCAAGCAAAATAGAAGAGTTTTTGCATTTCTGTTTTTTTCATTGCAGTCGCAGATTTTTATTAAATTGAGTTTTCCCTCAAAAACGGGTATTCGTCACGTTGTGGGGACACTGTACTGTATATAAAGTCTGGTCTATTAAGATAACCTACAAGAAATTAGTTAAGCAATTACAAGCTGGTTTGATCTGACTAGTAAAAACTGACTGGAGGGTATGCTGTTCTTTGCCGAGAAATATGGGGGCTGTTTTTCAGAAGCTTGGCAATAACCCACTTCATTAATTAACTTGCAAAATAAAGATGCCGATTTCCCCCGGGGTGGGGGACTCTGCCCAGTGGCGCGGGCCTGGGGGAGCTTCCCAGATGCACTGACAGTTATTTAGGAAGGTGAAGCACTCTGTATTGTGCAATATGGGCGGAGAATCGAATAGCCGCACTTCGGCGTCCCCTGCTGAACAATACAGTAGCATTATTATATCTTACATCTTGTTACATATATCTGGATTCTCGGGGGGGGGGGGGGGTTTCTGAAAGTTCACAAGTGGGAGTGAGCGGTCCGGAGGGGAGTGTCTGACACCCCTGAGCCGAACCAGGAGTGTTCCATAAAGCAGTCTGCCTTCTGCATTCCAGTATCATGCTGTTCCGCCTTAAGCGGTAGGTGTGCCGCCTCAATCGGCTTATTTAGTGTGAATATAATGATCAATGCGTGTGCGCTGAAAATAAAATAAAATGATGATGTGAAATTAAGTTTGTAATTTGAGACTGGGTGGATGTGAGAGGAATTAGATCAAATTCTAATATATGCACACGTTCCCACGAAGGCTATCCGGCATGAACTCCACATACTAGACATAGATGGGGCAGAAGTTAGCCCTGCAAGGAACGCGCTTGGTAAAAATATCAGTGAAAATACATTTTAAAATATATTCTTCACCATTAAAAAAAAATCGTGCTTTTTGCAAGTCTCCCTCTGTAGAATATATAAATCGAAGTTTTTGCAGCCAAATTACAGAAGCCGAGTGCTCTGCGTGAGTGGAAGCCGCGGGAACTTTTATGTGGGATATTCACACAATCGCCTGCAAGGACAGAAAACTTTACGTTTCTGTGTCTACTAAGAGGGGAAGAAAAAAAGCTGTGCATGAAACAAAATATATTTGAATGGCAGCCAGGAAGGTGTGGCTTATAGGGTGGAAAAGTCCAGGTCTTCCGTGTTCGGAGAATAGTGCACTTAGGGACGGACGGAGAGGGTGCAACGTCTTACCTCTTTCTCTCTCCAGCGCCGGATCATTACAACGGCTTCACATTACATTAAGGAATGAGTTATTACGGCTCCCACGAGAGACTGGCAAACATTCCTGGAAGAACCGTGTACGCCAGTCCTACCTATTCCAGGGTAGAGGTTCACGGTGGTAATGGATTCCTGCCGTCATACATGGACGGATACTCTGCGACCATCGGCGGCGGAGCGCATACAGAGTATGTAATTCTGCTTAATTAATATGAGTCACTAGGTTAATAGTAATTGACCTATATTGCATCAAAAACTTTTTTGATGCAATAAAAGACAACATATTTACATGTTTTGGTAAATATGTAACATAGTTAAAATACATTTTGTTATTGGTTAAGAGGGGTTTTACAAGCTCAAAGTGTATCTTGGAGCTTTTCTCTGCCTTTGCGGGCCAAATTTCAGGCATTTCGTTCACGGCCGATTGCATCCTGCATTGCTGTCGGTTGCCGTAATGAATAAGGCATGAATATAACGTTACGCAGCGTTTTAACCTCCAAGACAAAGTACGCGCTGATTATTCATGAAAAAAAAAGACTTCTAATTGAAAAATAAGCAAAGAAAATGGCCCGCGGTTGTATTAGATGTACTTTTGCGAAGTATGAATGAGATTCTGCTTCGGGAACTGTACACACCTTAAAGCGACACACTGCTCCTCCAGTGCGCAGGTGATTATTCAAAGGGGCAGGAGCATGAAGGCCCAGCAGTATCAGGACCAGGACAATATCAGGACAATGAAGAAAACTGAATATGCCCTCCAGTCCGTAAGTGACTTTTAATCACGTTCTCCAGTCGGCTCAGGTTTAACAGATGCTGGTTTCCGTCTTTGAATCCGTTTTCCTACTACTGATACAGTTTTCCCCAAAAATTTAAAGCAATTTAAAAAATGCACACACTATAGGTACATAAAAGAATTAAGTCGAACTGGTAGATACCTATAATAAGACGGCTATAGCACGAGCAAATGAACCAAACTACATGCATTACACTTAAAATTCTCACCCGGAGCTGCAAGGTTTACGTGAGAAAAAATGTTTGGAACCAGTTGGCTACATATTAGAGTGCTGACAGTAAACAGACAAGTGACAACATAGTTAATCACTGACTTACACAATAAAGCCAAATTGCCAGTGGAAAGAATGCAGCCTTTCTCTCTTGCATCATGGCCGCTGTCATATACGCCTTTCCACACCTGTAATAACACTTATAATGCAAAGACGGAACCAAAAAGATTCTAGTCATCAAGCTGTTCCTTTCCGTCATTGGTTCTTCCATGTCACTTTTTAATCATTTGTGTCTGCAAAATATGCAATTTTACAAATGTGTGGGGTATAGTCTGCTAGTTGATTCATTTGTTTAGTAAATGGTCTTATCTAGTTGTTGGGAGTGGCGTATTGTTAGTGTATGAAGAGGGTGATAGTTATGCAGATATAACCATGCGTGCGACAGTATTCCCTTTATGATGTGGTGTCATGTGGGATAATCGCTTGATCTGTTTTATTACATTATGCCGCGTGTTGGAGGTGCAAAAAGCGATCGTTGTTCAGCGCAAACGCTGCTTTTGTACTTAAACAGTTAAAATACCGAACATCGGTCATTTGGTGACATTAAAGCTTTTGGGTAGTGAGAGCGCTACAACTGTGCACAAAATGTCGGCCTAATCCATCTTGTTTAACCTGCGTCGGGTTTTGCGGGGAACACCCCCGACTGCTCACAAACTCGTACCTCTAGGTTAGACAAAACAAATGCTGTAAAGTGAAAGATTTAACTTTAGCTGAGATATTGGTTTAAAGCAAGTGTTAACAGTTAAAATTTGTGTTTGTGCGTATATGTTGTGCATGTAATGTGTTAGTTACATTTAGCCGCGAAAAAAAAAATTAAGAGAAGACTACATTTTTAAACAAATCTGAATTTTAAAATCCTGGGTTAATAATGGTTCTGCTGGCAGAAGGCTATGTTGAGGGGCAGGTTGCTTCCAGATTCAAAACTTCTAACGCAGCAGTGCATCAGAATAAGGTGAAGTGGGAGAGAATGGGAATCAGAAGCCAACCAGGTAATGGGCAGAAGTGACTTTCTAATACAGAGATGGCCTTTCTCATGGATCGAAGGATGACATCAAGTGACCTTCAAAAAGAATGAGAAACATTAAGTGCAGGTGTGAAGTGCACTGCTAGGACAAGTTTGTATGGGGCTCTCACAAGCAGGAATGAGGTCCCATAAAGCAGGGAAGAAGCCCTTTATTAATGAGAAACGGAGAAGAACCAGGTTACAATTTGCAAAATGTGTATATTACTCACAGACACACCCATAAACTGAGAAATGAGTGAAACAAAAAATTGTGCCGTGGTCTCTGAATTTTTCCCACAGCTGTTTCACAGAGGACTAAAAGAACCTGTCCGATTTGATGTTTTTTCACTTTGTTGTTGTAATTGTCCCTGGTGCTGTTTAAAGCAGTTTAGGAATGTGTACATGTGTGTCTATTGGACTGTTGCGCGTGAGAGCCAGAGCGGAGGAAGGGTTTGCATGACAGACGGTCACTGAAGTAGGTGTGGGAAGATCTCTCTTTACGGCTGCCAGGAGCTAACGCCGACTTGATAGCATCTAATAATAATAATAATAATAATAATAATAATAATAATAATAATAATAATAAAATCCCATGTGTTTCAAAGGGTGCTGACCATCAGAAGTATGTGACCCGGCCTGCAGAATACGCAGACCATGTGGGGTTTTACAGCCATGATCTGCGGCAACTTGGCCAGCCCAGCGATCCCATCCAGAGGAGGTCTGTGTGTGTGTCTGTGTGTGTGTGTGTGTGTGTGTGTGTGCGCGCGCGCGCACAAGCGGGTATACCTTACCTTATGGGGACACAATGACCCCACAACGTGACGAATACCCATTTTTTTTTTTACTATATTTAATAAAAATCTGTGACTGCAATGAAAAAACTAAAAATGCAAGAACTATTGTATTTTGTTTGGCTACTTATGGTTATGGTCAGGGCTGGGTGGGGGTTAAGGGTGTCATAGTTAGCGTTTTTCCCATAGAAATGAATGAGCGGTTCCCTTTAAAGATATGTTTACCCGAGGTGCGTGTGTGTGTGTGTGCGCGCTTCCATAGGACAAATTGTTTAGAAATGCTTGTGTCTTCCCAAACATTCCAGAATGTTTAAGAATGGGTGTGTGTGCAGGATTGAATGTGTTTTGTCTTCTGGATGTTGAGCTGTGTATGACTGTGTGTGTGTGTGTGTGTGTGTGTGTGTGTGTGTGCACACCTTCTGATGCATCCTGCAGTGCCCTTACAGATAGCAGAGGAATGTGACCCCAGATTGTGAGATCTGTGTGACCTCACTACTAATGCACAATTAGCAAGCCTGTTATTTTCCAGAAAACAGACCTCCTGTCTCAGCGGTCAGCTCTATTTTTCGCAAAGGTCATGTTCCGCTGCTGAAGTGAAATATGCTTGTTCAAGGCTGTCGGGATCCAGATGTGGGGGGGGTTGGGTAGGAGTGTCACCCCAGGTGAAACCTGTCTCCCTCTGTTGGCCAGTATGGAGCAGGGCAGGGAGCAGGTCACCAGGATACATCAAGTGCCCATGGCCAACCAGGCCACCATGTACCGCACTCGCACCAGCGTTTCCTACGAGGACACGGGGAGGAGCTTCCAGGACGCCATGGGCTGGATCACACAGAAGAAGGTACCTGAAAAAGTCTGGGCCTTTGGCATTTTCCTTAGCTGCACATCATGTCCTTCCAGGAAGGAGGCTTAACTACCTGCTTCAGTCCCCTGACATGCAGTTACATTTCATTAACGTGACACTTTTACAATAGAATGTCTTTATTGTCATTGTAACAATTACAATGAAACTATGAAATGCAACAATGTCTGTGACTCCTTAGTATTGCTTTGATGTACACATGAATATTAAGGGGAAAAAAGATTTTAAAAAAAGAGTAAGTTAAATAAACAAACAAGAAGGTAACGTATCAAAAATTAAAAGATAGAGATATAGAAGAGGTAGAGAAAGTGACTTGTGCTTATGGTTTATTTTTATCCAAAGCAGCTTACAGTACAGGGAAGGGTTACACTTTTTGTGTGCTCACTGCGTTGTTAGAGCAACACTGCATGTTGAGCTACTGGATGTGTTTGCATGTGTGCGAAATGGAGGGGGATCGGGTGACGTGCCACACCCATAACACGCTAAAATTACCGAAATTCTGCTCTTCTCCCTAGCCGGTGACATGTTGCCGCCTATACACCTGAATCAAAGTAATGCCCCTGCTTTTGTGGTTTAATGACATTACCCCCCCGGGCCGGCACCAAATGGGGTGTGATAATACGCTTTGAAGCACGTCAGATCGCAAGGCGCGGTCACGTCCTCGCTGAAACCCGATTCCCTGGATATAGGGAGGGGGGAGTGCAGTATTGCTAACCATGTAGGGGCGTGGTAGTATGGTTACCCAGTAGAGATAGTCTGGTCGTATTTTCTCATCGCTGTTTCAGTCTTTATCGGCCAATCTTCACCGCGCTCCGAGTCGCGCCCTATGCTCGGTGACTCATGTTCCAGTTCCTCCCCCTCTCTCTTGTTTTGGCTTCTTCTCTCCTTCATGACTCACTGTTTACCTTTCATACATACTACTATCTCCTTTCCCCGCCTTCCCCTCACAAACCCATGGGAGCGAGAACGACTCGCTGGTGCCCCCTGCAGGACACCTCTGGATATTGTTTTCTGCTGTCAGAGCTGTGCTTAACCCTGAGCTGTTTTCACCTCTAGAGACGGTGGATGTTTGGACATTGTGTTAAGTGTATTTTAGCGCTTGAGGCTATGCACCTCATTTGTGTTGGGGGAGGAGCAATGAAGAAAAGTTGCAGAACTTTAGCTATGGGCTTCAGTGCAAGGAGAGAGGAAATGTTTAGCACCACCTAGAGGCGGATGTTTCCTTTAGCTAGGGAGTATTTTAGCTATACAGATGCTCCCCGGGTTACGATGGAGTTACGCTTCGATAAACTTATCGTAAGGGAAAAATGCATTTTCATACAGTACACCTTACCTAACGAACAGCCTAGCCTAGCCTACCTTAAATATGCTTAGAACACAAAGCCTATTTCATAATCAACTGTTGAATATGTTATCTAATTTATTGAATAATGTACTGAAAGTGAAAAAGAGAATGGAACTGGAATACCCAATGTAAAGTTGAAATATCGTAAGATGCGGCGTCATAATCCAGGGAGTGTCTGTACTTTGAACCAGGGTTGATCTTTTGGTTTATGATCTGGTAGTCGTACGAACAAAGCGAAATGTTGCATATGGAGAGTCGATGGCGGCGAGATCTTGACGGTGTGCCCACGTCCTTTCCAGCGCATGATTGAGACCGCCCCCTGGGGGGATGACCCAGCGACCATCGATCAGCACATCATGAACCACAGCAAGTTCCAGAGCTCCATCAATAGCAGCATGGAAGTCGACAGGGCCAGGGATGAGCTGGTACGTCTCTTCTCTCTCGTCTCGTCGCAGATCTCCAAATTAGTCGATCGCTCCCTGTTTCTTCTGTGCCACCCCCTTAAAAATGACTGGCCCCGGATAGCCACCTTTTCTGCAGGCCCCACCGTCCAAGACATAAAAAAATGGAAATTTCCAGAAATCCTGTGTCAGGTTTTTTTTTTTTTTTTTTTGCTGTGTTTATTTTAGGGACAAAAAGGGGACAAAATTGGGTTGAATGCCCTGGATCATGAATGGGACAGTTTGCAGGTGGGTCTGCCCTCCAGTCGAACAAAAGTTTGTAAGCTTTTTAAAGTTTATCTATAACAGTAATAATAAGAAAAATTCTTATTGTTATTATTTATTTTGTTTTTGTTAGAAAATGTCCTACAGCAGACTCCGTCAGCTGCGAGAGCTGCAGAACATCATTGAGGAAATCTCCAGGGAGATTATTTGGGTGAACGAGCGAGAGGAGAAGGAGCTGGTGTTCGACTGGGGAGACAAAAACATCGACACCTACATCCCGCAGAAACAGGAGAGCTACTCCGTAAGAGCTCTCAGCTAGCCCCCGACTCCGCAGAGCTCCTTCAGACCTTCACAGGGCACTAAAGAAAATTCCTATAGTCATGAGCCTGCTTTTGCTTTTTTTTTTCTTCCCAGGAACTTATGAAAGACCTGGAGGAAAAAGAAAAAGATTTGAACAAACTGAAACAAAAAGTGGACAATTTACACAAGAACAGCCACCCCGCCTTTGACAAGATTGACGTAAGTGATCATGGGTCACGGGAAGCACTCTGGTGCGAGATGCCTGTCTCTGAAAGAGACGACTCTGCAGACAAGTTTGTTTTGTGTACTAAATTAAGATGGATTGAGGAGAAACTGGTGGACCAACTCCATTCAGTTGTTAGTAAGAAATGATGACTCTGTACCAAACTGTTGACGTCCGTTAGTTGCTGCATTTTAACACTAGGCTGATACTTTCAGGCCTACATGGACACTTTGCAAACTCAGTGGAGTTGGCTCCTGCAGATCACCAAGTGTCTTTCTGTTCACCTGAAAGAGAACATGGCCTACAGTCAGGTGAGACTGCCTAGCCTTTCATTTAATATCACCATTTTTCACACACAAGCCACAGACCAGATTTCTCCTTGAAGACGCTATAAAGGCTCTTTCATTCTGCTGTTTGCGTAAAGTTCTTCAAGGAGGCCAATGAGATTAACGCCAAGCTTAAGAAAGACCATGACAACATGCGGATGAGATTTGCTTGCGACAAGTCCACGCCGCTGGAGAATCTGATGGCCCTACTCAAAAACCTGGAGGTATTGCTAAATAAATGACCATGCATTTTAATAACCATACTCATTGTTAGTTGCATTATTTCTGTATTACCGACTTAATGAACTTAATGAATCATTTGTAATATGGCACTGACCAGTAAGCGTTTAGTCACTGGCACAGTGACTTATTGCATATCCAGTTCATTAAAATGACTATATGAGAAGAACTTTGAATAATATTACAGTGTCTCTATTGTGGTTATTACCTTTGGGGCAATCTGGAGTCATAGTCCATATTTCTACCCCCATAGAAAGAAAAGGAGAGGCTGCTGGACAACAAGAGGCAGGTGCAGCTTCTGGTTAACAAGTCCAAGGGCATCATCAGGCTGAAGCCACGTAACCCAGAGTTCAGGAGCAGCAATCCTGTCATAGTACAGGCCCTGTGCGACTTCAAGCAGGACCAGGTAGGGGGGAGCACCTGGGCCCACAGCTGGTCAACACGCCCCCGCCTAAGCTTGCAAGGAAGGGCCCGTGGTGAAGGCCAGAGTGGGGAAGCCTCGGGAGTCGCTCAGACAGGCCAACTTGTACAAAAGCCACCATAGCCAGAGTACAGTAGTCCCCCTGTATCCACGGTTTCTGTAACCATGGTTTCAGTCACCCGTGGTTTACCACAGTTTTGTTGTGAAATTGTGAAATGTGCAGCCGTGTTTTTTTTTTTTACATCGTTCCTTCATCCTTTGAGGGTTATAAAAAGCATGATTGTCTTTGCCCCGTCATCCTTTGGTACATGATATTTTTTCATTGTTATATTGTCTCTTGAGAATTAGGCTAAAACTTCAGAATCCCTTTCATTCAAGAGAGTACAGTACTGAATATCAATGTACAATGTACTTGAATAATACTGTATTTAATGTTGGTAATGTCTTACTGTGCACAAATGATCAATTACCATGTGTAAGTACACAGAAATCATGGTATATATGGGGTCCTGTTATCTGCGGCAGGTCTTGGGACGTATCAGCCACGGTTATGGGGGGACTACGGTATAATGCAGAGAGCACTGAAGAAACAGTGTGATATGAACAATAGGCCAATGACTGAGATTCACCTATTGAGCCACAAAAATCTTATCAATTCACCAATCAACAAAAGCACATATTACAAGTTATCAGCTACTGATTTAAATATGTATTGACTTCATACTTTGTGTACTGGAGTTCTCTGGACCTTATCCTGTATATTGAAGAAGTACAAGCTCACGCAGGTTTACAGTGGGGTTTTGATGAGTACGGAGGGGGTCACTGCTTCAGATTGTGGTTGGAAGCTCTTTCCACGGAGAAATGATAGTCATTTGGCTGATTGTTCGCAGAACCAAGGGCATGGGTGTCTTAGGGGAGGCATTGTAAGAACATGGGTAAGAAAGGTGCCCATTACCATGCTTTTGCTCCTGTTTCCTCGCAGAAGGCAATTCTCCAGGGCAATGAGGGCATCCTGAAGGACAACTCGCAGCGCAGCAAGTGGCTGGTGATAGGCCCAGGAGGCCTCGATATGCTCATCCCCTCAGTGTGTCTGCTGATCCCACCACCCAACAACCTGAGCATCGAGCTGGCAAAGACGTGAGCTCTCCGAGAGCGAGTCCGCGAGCAATGAGTCCATGATTCCTTCAGTATAATGCAATGTTACATTGTTACCAGTAGGTGGCGATAGCATTCTTTCTTCTTCCAGAAATGAGAAATATTATGATGCCCTCATGGATGTTTCCAGTCAACTATACATCAACATCAAGAGCTTAATCTCCTGGCAGTACTGCGTAGAAGACATCAACCGTATCAATTCTCTCACCATGCAGCTTGTGAGTTCACCTTAGTTTCCGGGTCCATGTCGGTGATTGTTTGTAAATGGTCACAGTAGGTCCATCCACAGTCCCAAAGCGAATTCCCCATAATGCTGTAATGTGCCATCCTTTTGTTTCTTGTGACCACAGCTTACGAGAATGAGTCCGGATGAGTATCGCAGCATAATAAAGAGTCTGGAGACTCACTACGAGGAGTTCAAACGCAACAGCCAGAAATCAGAACTCTTTGGTGACGAGGACAAGAAGATGATTGAGAAACAGTACACCACTGCCCAGACCCACTATGACAAGATGATCATACAACTTCCTACCTACAGTGAGTCCTGCACCATGTATCTTGTGATTGTCTGTGGATTCTATAGATTCTCATGGATTTTCAGGAATCCACATTATAGAAACATCCACGCAGGTCATTTCAATCAGTTGATGTGAAAGTAGATCAGAATGCAAGTCACCGTGACTTTTTAATATAAGCTGGATGCAGGTAAAGCAGTGTCTCCCAATCCGGTCCTTGGAGACCCACAGACAGTTCACATTTTTACTCCTACTAGGAATTGGGAAGGAGCAAAAATATGGACCGACTGTAGGTCCCAGAGGACCAGATTGGGAAAGACTGAAGTAAAGTCCCAGTGGCTAACATCATGCCTTTGTTGCCATGTTTGTAGTTGCATCTGCCAACAAAGGAGTGGATGAATCTGTGAAGATGGAGGTTGTCCAGCCAGTGGCATCGATGCCAGTGGCATCGATGCCAGTGGCACCAAAGCCAGATGTGACCCAACAGAGCACAACCTTCTTGATGGAGCTGCATAGCTTGAGGCAGAGGGCGGAGGCGGCTGAGCTGGGTCTAACCCAGAACCTTCATGTCCCCTTGAAGGAGAACAGTGCTAAAGAGTGCTCCCAGCGCATCGTTATGATAGAGGTATGTTCTGATTTGTATAGTTTGATCCTTCAATCTAAAGCTTAGACCTCCTCTACTGTTCTTGGTGGGTAGGCTGTGGGTGTCAAGCGTTGCTTGATTGTATCAACTGAAAACCATAGGGGATCCAGCGTGATATCAATGCCATCCGTGACGAGCACATCAGAATGAAAGAGAAAATCTTGAGGCTCCTTGAGGGTATGACGGATCCGGACAAGGCTAAGTTTCTCCAGACAGAGCTCGCAGTCATCAATCAGAAACTGGGAAGCCTGGAAGGATTCTCCACTTCTTACCTTCAAAGGTAAGATAAGGACTGTAGTTCATAACCTATCAACGTCATTAGTTCTATAAAATATTCAGTAAGCATCCGACTCTGACCCTTATCATAAAAGAGGGCATCTGATAATAATGTCAGAAACACAAGCTCAGTTGAGATAGGGTGACCACATAATCCATGTTAGAGAGGACACTTTCAGATGCTTTTGGTTTTACAAGCTACTTTAAAACTGAAAGGTTCTTATGCTTGGTCACCGTCATGAAAGACTCATCCAGCTGTTTCCCTTTCATGTTAGTGAAACATGCATGATTATAGAAGACTGACCAATCAGCACTCAGCAAGAACTCCGCGCTTAAGTGAAATCCAGGTCCTTTTAATGGAAACGGTAGTTTACAAATCCTGTCCTGGTTCAAAGTGTCCTCCCTGACATGGAATATTTGGTCACCCTAAGTTAAGGATATCTGACTGTTTGCAGTGTACGAGTGTGACCCCTTAATGTCAAAGTTAAGATTTCTAAATTGAAATTTTGTGCCCATGGAGAGTTTGTCTTTAAGGTTTCTTATCAAAATAGGCTGAAGGCGCTGCGAGGCCTGTTCCAGAGCCTGGTGCAAGTCGAGGATATTGTCAAGGTCAACGAGGCCAGGCTGACCGAGAAGGAGACCTCCTCTCTGAATCTGCAGGAGCTAGAGGACTACAATGTCTTGCTGAAGGTAGTCGGCTAGAGTGACACGTCTTCATTTTCTGTCAACACAGCGATAAAGACAGATAACACAAACTTATCTCCTTCTCTTTCTTAAGTATTAATAGTGGCACATCTCCACGTACATTAGCATTTTATTTGCTGCGAGGTCTTGCATAACGTTAGAATTCTGTATTGAATAAGCTAGGATTAAGCTATTATCAATTGGGATCTGTTGAATGCAGAGAATGAAATCGGAGCTGGACCAGAAGAGGGACATCCTTAAAGCAATGGAAACAGAGCTGAACAACGCAGTGCAGTGGAACAATCAAGTTGGGCAATCTTTCCACAAGTGCGATGTGGACCTCTCCAAGTATGCAGAGACGGTGATCCAGCTATCTGATCGCTGGCAGCGTATCCAGACGCAAATCGATAGCAGGTGAGAGGGTCTTTTCTTTTCACCATAATCAAAGGCTCACTTTAACCCCTTGTTATGTAATATCTGTACTTGAACTAGTCCATGAAGACCACATCTTCATACATAGGGTAAAGTATATAATACTGAAATCTTTCTACCATGGTAAAATGATCAAAGACATAATTGAACATTGAGAGGGCTCTAGTATTCAAGGGATTCTAAATATAATAAAGCATCTTTGACTGGACTTCAGCTAGTCTATGAGCAGTCTATGATTATTCTGTCTTTGCAGGACTATAAAATAAAATGAGGTTCTTCCATTCAGTTTTTGGGTGGTCTGTGTTTTGACTGTGTTCAGTCTATATGTACTCTTGTTGAGTATTCTTGTTTTTGAACTAATTTGGTGTGGTCTTTGTTTCATCTGTGGTTGGGTAAATGTCACATAATGACAGCAAGTTTGTGGCAATTCATATTTGAGCAATTATCACGAGGCAACTTTCTCTAGTCTTCAGACTGGTTTAGTTTGGTTTTGTCTGTGATCTTGTCTGTGAACGACCCGTGAGCACCTTTCCTTTCCGTAGGGTGTGGGACGTTCAGAAACAGCAGCAGCAACTGAAGCACTACCAGCAGACCAGCTCGGTACTCATGGCATGGATTCAGAATGCACGCCAGCGGCAGGATGTTCTTCAGGCCAACAAGGTTAACGACCTCCAAGCCCTTATGGACCAACTCAACCAGCAGAGGGTAGGAAGAAGCACTTTTCCATGTCTCCACCGACTTAGAAGTTCTGTGCGGATGGTCGTCACTGCCTTTCTCAGATTAATGTCTATGTGTTGAATTTCAGGCGCTTCAGACTGAAATAAAAGGGAAGAAAGAAAGAGTGGATGAAGTTCAGAAAGATGCCAACACCTGTGCCTCTTCAATTAAGGTAGCTGTTTTGAAAGCCACTTGAAACGTTGGGATAGGAGTTCAAATGTTTCAGCCAGTGACGTTTTTAGCTTCATGGCTGTGGCCGGTGGTTTGTGTTGGCGCTTTGGGATGACCTCCCTGACTGGTGTTGATGGACCTTGCAGGACTATGAGCTCCAGCTGGCCTCATACAGTGCCGGACTGGAAACTCTGCTCAACATCCCCATCAAGAAGACTATGTTGCAGTCCCCTGCAGACACCATCAGAGAAGAGGTATGCGTGATTTGTTCCTGCATGTCACTGGTGTGATTTCCAGTACGATGGACTGGGTTATGTCAGTGTTTGTGGAGGACTAATTAAACTGCTGTGTTTCCTGTAGGCCACTGAACTGCAGGCCAGTTACATTGAACTCTTCACTCAGTCTGGTGATTTCTACAAGTTTCTTGTAGAGATGCAGAAAAACATGGAGGAACTGAAGGTAGGAATCACTGGAAATGTTTGCATTTTAAATTTTATATGCTATATTGTTACATTAACAACACATATGTGTAAAAGTTATTGATATAGATAACTGTAAAACAAGCTATTATGTAGCTATTAATACCATTGTTCAGAAATGTACAATATTTTATATTTCTTATATGTAATAGATTCAATGTTTCACTTGAATGTGTTTTATCATTAAGATTAGGAACACCAAAATAGACCTTTTGGAAGAAGAGCTGCGGCGTCTGAAAGATGACGTTCAAGCTAAATCACAGAAGAACAAGTCTCTTGAAGATATGCTGACTAGATTTGAACTGGATCTTTCCGAGAGCAAACAGCAGCTGTTTTCCATGGAGGAAATAAAAAAAACTCAAGCCCGACAGTGTGACGCTGTCAAGGAGAACCTTGACAGCACCTACAGCCAGGTCAAAGATCTAACTGATCAAGTTACCAGGCTCACCTTTATGCTTGATGACGAGAAAAGAAAGAAGAGATTGGCTGAGGAGAGGTATGTTACCCAGCAGGAAGAGTATGAAAACCTCATGAGAAAGAGGCAGAAGGAGCTCGATGAGATCAACTGGTCGAAGATCGAAATTGAGAAGACCATCAAAGACAAGGATCGAGAGATCGAGAGACTAAAAATGCAGTTAGAAGATGAGGCATCACGAAGACGACAGTTCGAATCGGAGATCTCTAAGGTAAGAAACCAATATAATCAAGACATAACTAACCTAAGGAAAACGCACGAGACCGAGATCCATGTCAGTAAAACCACCATGCAAAAGATCACACTTGCAAAAGAGGAGGACTCTGAAGCTCTTAAGCTGCAGAACGATAATCTCATGACTGAAAAGAAGGCCTTGGAGGAGGAGTTGAGGCGACTACAGTACTCAATTAGTCAAGCAGAGAATCTGAGGAAGAGGGCAGAGGCAGATGTCCATCAGCAGAAATCTGTTGGGTTACAAGACTCTACGAAAATACGAGAACTTGAGATCCACATCCAAACCATCACTCAAAAGAGAACTGAAGATGAGTTGCGACAAAAGGAGTCCATGGCAGAGACTATGAGAGCGATTCAGGAAAAGAATAAGCAAATTGCCGTGTTAACTCAAAACTTGGAGCTGGAGTCAAGGAGGCGGGGTGCCTTGGAGGTAGAAAACAGTGGTCTTAAGCAAACCAGGAATGAACTTCAGGCAAAGAACTTAGCTGCCAATGAAGTCATTAACAGGTTGAAAGTAATAGAGCAAGAACTAAGCATTGTTAGAATAGATCTGCAAACAAAAACACATGAAAAGTACAAGGTGGAACAGAATAGTAACCGATTGGAAGGCAGAATAAGAGACCTGCAGAAGATGTTGGATGGGTTAGAGGCTGAGGTTGAGAGACACAGGAAGGCTACTCTGGATGAGTCTGCTTTAAGGTCAATGGCTGAGACAGATTTAGAAAGAACAAAGCAGTCCTGCAAAGAACACTTATGCATAATCGACACTCTCAAACGTGAGCTGGAGATTGTCTCTTCTGCTGCAAAGCGAAATGAGCAACAGCTTAAGAATGTCCAGGAGGCCTTGGATCGGAGCCTGAAAGACCAAAAGCTCTCCTCTGACAGTACTAGCCAGTTAAATGCACAGCTAAAAGCCCTACAGTTACAGCTCCAACAGGAACAAGGACGTGTCAAAGATGCAAATCTTCGGAATGAGATACTGCAAAAGACCATTGAGGAGAAGAGCCGTATGCTGAATGACAACGGCGCAGAGATCGAGAAACTGCAGAAGATGACACAGAACCTGACCAAGGAGCGCCTGAGGTTAGACGAGGAAGTCCGGTCTCTGAAGCAGGAAAAGGAAGAACTGAAGAAGAACCAGCACAACAGTAACAATGAAGCAATGGCACAAATGTCTTCCCTGCAAAGCCAACTCCAGTCCTGTAACATAAGAACTGTTGAACACCAAGCACATATTAATGAGCTGTCCAAGGAAAGGGACAGGTTGAAAATGGAAATTGAAAAAAGTCAAAAGCAGGCTTTTGAGGTACATCCAAAAAAACGTCTTGAAAAAAGTGGAATTTTTAGTAGCACAGGTTTAATATATTTAAAATTTTGCATTTAGGCAAAATACAGTTTTGTCCCATATGTATGATTATACTCATCGAAGTCACTGCACTCGTAGAACTCATTATTTTGATACAGAATTCATTCTAATCATATGTCCATAATGTCTGATTTTCTTGGTGTTTTGCTCGATAAGAATATGGTACAAGTGAGGTTTTTTCAAAGTGAAGAGGATTAGAAGTGATAAATCCATTATAGTTGTATCAGTTCCGGTATGTTGCATATAAAAGTAGCTCTGATGCAGAGTACAGAAGACTATGCATTGTGTACTATATAATATATAATAATTGCTAACAAATACCATAGTGTTTATACATCAGACATATATAATGTTAGTGTAATATTTTAAAATGGCCACTTCTTATGTCGAATCAGCATAGATTACAAACTGATTATATTGATCAGATTGTAATCAATGTTTTTCTTCTTTACAGACATCCAGCATAGTGACCCAATCTCAGGCCAACTACAATGAAATTTTGAAGGAGAAGGACAGTCTTGCTATGAAGATAAAGCTGTTGGAGCAAGACAAAGCCAGGATGCAGAGGAGTGAAGAAGAGCTGAACCGCATCAAACTCTCCCTAGAAGGTGAACTTCAACAGAAGAAACGTATCCTAGATGAGAATGAGAAGGTCAAGAGAGATTTCAGTTACTGGAAGAGCCAGTATGAGCTAAAGGAGACTCATATTAGACAGCAGGTCTCGGACAAAGATCAGCTAGAGAGGGAGAGGAACTCTCTGAGAAGTGAAATTGAAAGGCTTATGGCGGAGCTAAAAAGTGTGGAGGCACAGTATAAGAACAGGCTGACTATTACAGAAAAAGAGGTGTCAGATATTACTCTTGTAAAGTCCAACTTGGAGAAAGAGCTCTGGAAGCTGAAGCAACGACCAGCTTCCTACAATCAACAAACACAAACCAGTGAAGATATCGCCAAGGTGGATCCCTCCAAGCTCCTCTTCAATGGTGTCCACAGAAAAGTCACTGCTCATCAACTGTCTGACTGCAAAATCATCGACCAAGTCACACTTGATAAGCTGCTTAAAGGCCAAAAGACAGTGGATGAGGTAGCTGTCAACATTCAGCCCAGTCTGCAAGGTGCTGGGGTCATCGCAGGTGTTGTTGCAGGTACTCAAGGTAAAATGTCTATAAACGAGGCTAAGCAAAAAAATCTGCTCCCACCAGAGGCGGCAGTCATGCTTCTGGAAGCACAAGCTGCCGCTGGCTATATTATAGATCCTAAAGTTAATGAAAAAATGTCAGTAGATATGGCATGTTCCAGAGGTCTGGTAGACAGACAGGACAAGGATGTGCTTATCACTGCTGAAGCTGCCAGCACCGGCTTTAAGGACCCATATACTGGGAAACTCTTATCTGCCGGCCAGACTTTGAAGAAAGGACAGCTCAACAGGGATACTGTGATTCGTCTTCTCCAGGCTCAGGAATCCGTTGGAGGAATACTTGACCCCGCCTTGAGTGTGTTCCTTTCAAAAGACACTGCACTTGAACGCAACTTAATTGACGAAGACCTCTATCGAGCCCTGAACAAGCGGCCAGCTTGCTACATCGACCCTCATACCACGCAGAAGATTAGTTACAATGATTTGAAAATGAAATGCCACCCAGAGCCTGTCACAGGTCTTCTTCTCTTGAACTTACCGGACAAGTCTATGTCATTGAAAGGATTCAGAGGGGACGTTTCCATTGAGGAACTGGTTGAGTCAAAGCTTTTGACAAGATTAGAGGCAGAAGAAATGCCAATCGATGAGATTGAGAACAAACTGAGGCCTTACCTTCGGGGATCTACCTGCATTGCAGGTATTTATCACGAAGCTCAAGATAGGATCCTACCTATATACCAGGCCATGAAGGATGGTCTCCTCACCCGTGGCACTGCACTTGAGCTTCTGGAAGCTCAGGCAGCCTCAGGATTTGTGATTGACCCCCTCAATAACCTCTATCTCACAGTAGAAGAGGCGTTTAGGAGAGGCCTTGTAGGAAAAGATTTTAAGGAAAAACTCCTTTCTGCTGAAAGAGCTGTTACGGGATACAAAGATCCACATACAGGGAAAACGATTTCTCTTTTTCAGGCCATGAAAAAGGAGCTGATTGAAAAGGGGCATGGCATAAGGCTTCTAGAGGCTCAGATAGCGAGCGGTGGTATAATTGACCCGAACGGAAACCATCGTATTGATGTGGATGTTGCTTACAGTCGAGGATATTTTGATAAAGAAATGAATGACATACTAAATTATGAAGGTGATGATACAAAGGGTTTCTTTGATCCAAACACCCATGAGAACCTCACCTACATACAGCTTAAGAGGAGGTGCATCACGGACAAGACAACAGGGCTGGTCATGCTGCCCCTGAAGGACAAGAAGAAGAAAGCTGAGATGGAGAAGATGCAGAACGTCCTTCGCAAGCGGAGAGTTGTGATCGTTGACCCAGACACAGGCAGCGAGATGACCGTGCGTGAGGCCTATCACAGAGAACTTATTGACTATGACACATTCCTGGAGCTCTGCGATCATGAATGTGAGTGGGAAGAGATCACCATCACAGCCTCTGATGGTTCCAGCCGGCTGGTTCTGGTTGACCGAAAATCAGGCCAACAGTTCGATGTCCAAGATTCAATCAACAGGGGTGTCATTAACCAGAGCATGTTAGACAAATATCGAACAGGGAAAATGACAATCAAAGAGTTGGCAGACAAGATGACCAGCAAGTCCAATAGTGAATTGTCCATAACTTCTTCCAGCAGGGAAGATGTAAATGCATGCAGTAGCCCTGTTCAGCTTGCACCCTTATCACCAACTGTAAAAAAACGCCTTTCTAGTGTCTCCATAACATTATCACCCCCCTCTGAAATATTGGATGACCAGAGTCCAGTTGCTGCCATATTTGATTCAGAAACTCTTCAGAAAATAACCATCGCTGAAGGTCTACGTCGTGGAATAGTGGACAGCATCACTGCCCAACGCCTTTTAGAGGCCCAAGCTTGCACTGGTGGCATCTTCAATCCAGCCACTGGTAAAAAACTTTCTCTTAAAGATGCAGTGAACCAAAAAATCATCGATGAAGACATGTCTGCGCACCTTAAGCCGGCTCAGAAGGCCTTTCATGGGTTTGAGGATGTGAAAACCAGGAAGAAGATGTCTGTTGCAGAAGCCATGAAAGAGAAGTGGTTGCCGCATGAGGCCGGTCAGAGATTCCTTGAGTTTCAGTACCTCACCGGTGGCCTGATTGAACCCCAGACCGGTCTGAGGGTCAACATAGAGGAAGCAATCAGAAGAGGCTGGCTGGATGGGAGAAGCGCCCAGAAGCTCCAGGACACTCGAAACCACAGCAGAAATCTGACCTGCCCGAAGACGAAACTGAAGATCTCCTACAAGGAAGCCATGGACAGCTGCATGGTCGAGGAGGACAATGGAGTGAAGATGCTTCAAGCCACCTCCATGTCGACCAAGGGGATCAGCAGCCCTTACAACGTGGCTTCAGGCCCCAGCTCCCGCCAAGGCTCCCGCTCGGGGTCCAGAAGTGGGTCGCGCCGGGGCAGTGTAGACCTCAGCCCCACTGTTAGTTTCAGTTTTAACAGTTTCAGCTCCAAATCCTATTCTTAAAGCCCTTCTGGTGATATTCTGATGTGGGTGGCATAGCATTTTATGGGGAAAAGCACTAATGGTTTCTAAGGTTTCATGAAAGTTACTTTTCATTTAAATTTTTATCATACTTTTTATTCTACTGTAGTTGCTCAAATAAGTTTTTTGTCTTTGGGGTGATTTAGAGTTTTGATAGCATGAATATATCCTTTAAAAATGTTACCATATTTTGGTCTTTTTATACACAACATGCCAAGTGCTTAGTTTTTATTTTATCGAAGTTTCCTGGTCTCTTTAAATGTATTTCTTTATGCTTTCAGCTGTTGATTTAGAAATTAACTACTGACTAGTTATAATATAGTTAAAATCAGAGATATATGTTAAACCACCTTTAAAACATGACTTTCATTTGCAGTACTGACAAACATGCCACATGATTCCTGCTGTGTTCTGTTTTATGCATTCATCTAATTTGTTCTTAAATTTGAAGGGAATTTTCAATAAACTATCACATAGCTGCTTCAAACCTGGTGTAATCATTTTCAGTAGCTGGTAAATACAACCTTTTTTCCATAACAGTTGGGACGCTGTGTAACATTTAAATAAAAGCAGAATGCAGTGATTAGCAAATCATATAAAGAATAAAACCTGACCATAACATGATCCAGAAACACCACCGACTTCACTGGGCCTGAGCTCTTTTAAGATGGACTGAGACAAAATGGAAAACTGTCCAGTGGTCTGATGAATCAAAATTTCAAATTCTTTTTTGGAAATCATGGACGCTTCATTCTCTGGGCTAAAGAGGAGAGGGACCATCCAGCTTGTTAACTGCGGACAGTTCAAAAGTCGGCATCCGTGGTACGGGGGTACATTCGTGTCCGTGGCTTGGGTAGCTTGCACACCTGGGAAGGCACCGAAGTCAAAGATATTTTATTGTCAATTCACATTATATGTGCTAGACATACATGAGGACTGAAATGCAGTCTCTCGCTCACTGGTGTGTGTACAAGACATTCTATACAAAAAAAAAAAAAACAGATAAGACACAGGACAAACTGACAAGGCCAGAGACATATCAACAAGTGCAGATGGTACAAAGTGCAAATGGTAACAATGAATATATAGTCAGTTTAAGAGGCAGTTGTGCAAATGGTAAGAGTAGACTTAGGCGACTGTGAAAATGATTGTGCACCATTAACGCAGAATGATATATACAGGTTTTGGAGCAACATATGCTGCCATCTAGACGACGTTTTTTCCAGAGAAGACCTTGTATATTTCAGCAAGACGATGCCAAACCGCATTCTGCGCATTTTACAACAGCATGGCTCCATAGTAGTAGAGTCTGGGTGTGAGACTGGCCTGCCTGCAAACCAGTCACCCACTGAAGACATTTTTCATGAAGCTAAAAATATAACAGAGGAGATTCTGAACTGCTGAGCAGTTAACATCCTATATCAGGCAAGAATGGGACAACATTTCACTTTCAAACTCCAGCAACTGGTCTCGGTTCCCCAATGTTCCCAAATATTTTGAGTCTTGTTAAAAGAAGAGGTGATGCAACACAGTGGTAAAGGTGCCCCGGTCACAATTTTTTTTAAACGTGTTGTTCAATTCAAATCGGGCATATATTTGTCATGCAGTTGTGGTCAAAAGTTTACATGCACTTTTCACAAACATGTTTCTCTTGGCAGTTTTGGGCTTCCAATGATTTCTACAACTGTACTTTTTCAGTGGCGGAACGATTATACAACACACAACTTTATTTTAAAAAATCATAACTTTGATACACAAGTTTTAATTTATTGTCGGTTTTCTAAAACCAACACAGGGCCAAAATTATACATATACTTACTTAGATTATTGATTTAGTGTGGCTTACATTCTTCTAATTTGGTGCCCAGGCCTATCCGCAAAGGGCCGGTGTGTATGCAGGTTTTTGGTATAACCTGTAGGTCAGCTGTTCAAACCCAGGTGTGAGGACTCTTCAGCCAATCAGTCCTCTAATTAGTAATCTAATTAGGGAGTTGCAGCGAAAACCCGCACACACAGCGGCCCTTTGCGGATAAAATTGGCCACCCCTGGTTTAGACTATTTGTCGTCAGTACAAGTCATGTGGAGCTGTAGTCACTTTGTAAGGTCTGGAGAAAGACCTAGACTGTCACCCTCTGCTGAGAGGAAACTAGTCTGGATGGTCAGATGCAACCCAAGAGCCATATATTACGGTACAGGTCTGCCAGGCACTGGAAGCTGTTGGAACTCCAGTGTCACTCTCCACAGTCAAGTGAGTTTTACATCGTCATGGGTTGAGAGGCTGCCATCCAAGAAAGAGCATCTACTCTAGAATCAACACCTGCAGACTCGACTAAAGTTTGTGACTGATCACATGGACAAAGATACAGCCTTCTGTAGGAACATCTTATGGTCAGGTAAGACAAAAATTGAATTGTTTGGCCAGAATGACCAGAGGAATGTTTGAAGGGGAAAAGGTAAGACATTCAACCCGAAGAATGCTGTACCAACTGTTAATCGTGGACGCAGTAGTATCATGCACAGGGGCTGGTTTACTGCCAGTGGAACTGGTGCACTGCACAAAGTGGATGGAATGCTGCAGTAGGATCTAGAATTCTTCAGCATCACCTCAAATTATGAGCTAGAAGGTTGAAACTTGGATGAATTTGAGTGTTCCAACAGGACGATGACCGCAAACATACATCAAAGCTGATTTTGGAATGGCTGTATCAGGCTAACATTAAGTGTTTGGAATGACCTTCCTAAAATTCTGATCTCAACCCCATCAAAAATATGTCGAAAGTATTTAAAGGTCAGGTCTGTACCAGGCACCCCATGAATTTGGTTAAATTCTATCAGTTCTACCAGGAAGAGTGTTGAGATATCCAACCAGAGTTCTACCAGAAGCTTGTTGATGGCTACCAAAAGTGTTTGATCGAGGTGAATCATGCTAACCAAATATTAACTGTGCTGTATGTATATTTTTGACTCTGTGTGTATAATTTTGACCCTGTGTCGGTTTCAGAAAACCAACAATTAATTGAAACTTGTGCATCACGTTTGTGTTTTTTTAAATAAAGCTGTGTGCTGTATAATCATTCTGCCACAGAAAAAGAACAGTGGTAGAAATCACCGGAAGCCCAAAACTGCCATGACAAATGTTTGCAATGAGTGTATGTAATCTTTTGACCACAACTGTAGAACAAAAAAAAATTCTCAGTTTCAACATTTGATATGTTGTCTTAATTTTTATTTTCAAATAAATATGGGTTTGTATGATTTGTAAATCATGAATTCTGTGTCTGTTTACATTTTACACACCTTCCCAACTTTTTGGAAACTGGATTGTACATCTGCTACGAAGAAATTGAGATCCTTCATTAGGAAATCTTTGTTGCTTCTGCTTAGGATGTTGACATATCAGACAATAACTTCCAGAACCTTCCAGGTATACCTATGTCCTTAAGGACCTCTTCTGCGTGTTTAGAAGTTATGAAGGTCTAACATGACAAATGAGCCTTCAAATGGGGGCGTTATGGTGGTTTGGTGGACCACCAAGCCACACACCTCAGTTTATGGTTCACACACGTTTCCCATCTGTCTGCAGGTATTCTACAATCTCAAATATGCAGACAAGCAAAGCAAAACATCTAATGTGCCCATAATGTATGTGTGCCCCTTGATGGACTGGCATCCCATCCGGGGGGGTGTCACAGTGCAGTTTGAGCCATTGTGCAGCCCCCCTGGAGCTGGGGTTAAGGGCCTTGCTCAAGTGCCCATGGACAAGTGAATATTCTGCTGAGGCCAAGGCTCAAGCTCACTGTCTTCCAATCACAGGCACAGAGGCTTAATCCGCTGAGCCACTCATCGCCCCCTATTGGCCATTCCCTATGTGTCCTGTGATTGGCTCCAGGTTCTGTGTACTGGATAAGCAGGACGGATATTGGATTATAGAATCTTGCTGTTGTAACAGCTTGACGATAAGACCATCAGTTAGGAAATATTCGATTGCCTAGTAAAATTTGGCCATTTTATTACTATACGTGAATGAAAACCTGCCTCATTCATGCCACCGTTTTATAACATTTAATGATAGCTCACTTGCTGAGTGAAAAAGTGAAAAAGTGCGGGGGGAGCAGGAAAGTTATGCTTGATGGTATAATATATAATGACCTGTACTACTTTTTTCACTACGACATTCAGGGATGCCAAGGGAAAGAAAAATCGATCATGTAATACTGCAGTCTACCAGTAGATGGTACAGTAGTAGTAATACATATAGTAATAGTACAATGCTTAGCAAAGTAACTTTTTAAGGAAGGTAAATCTTCATTCATACATATCAGGGAATAAGAAGTTAATGACTTTAATTGCCATGACTCTATACTGAATGGACAGTTGGAAGATATATGGATAAAAGGTATTTTCATGCATATAACGTTATTTTCCATTGCTTTAAATTTGAGTGCATTTCATTTTACGGTATTTTTTGGCTTAGACATTAATCATTAAAAAATATTTCTAGATTAATTAGTAATACATCTGCATCCATAATACTCATCCATCTTGCATAATTGCTTACCCAGTCTGGGGTCATGATAAGTTATCCATTATATATGAAATATATATATATATATATATATATATATATATATATATATATATATATATATATATATAATGTGTTGTGTCAATCAAAGAAAATAGGCTTTCAACGATATATTGTGTCCCTTTCTCTCGTGGCAAAGGTCAGGGTTGGGAGCACTCACTAGCATCTGCTGTGAAGGGAACCACAGAGGTCAAAGTTCAACACACCATAAATCAGAGAGTGACCCCTTGTGAACATCACCGGCAGTAATCTCATTATCAATTTGCACTCCATATGCTTCAAGACAATGATAACTGACGCAGGGCTTTGAGCGCATTGCAGCTACATAAATAAAAGTGGAACTCAGTCAAGCAGAGCAAATAATTTCACAGGCAATATTTATATTTTGCAGTTGATATTTTTCCTGTTACAGTGTAGCTATTTGTTTCAATTTCCTTATTTAATGTTTTGACGTTTAAAGAAATACAACAAGCCTAGCTACATACAATGGTAAAACATTACAGCGTACCGTGTGTCCATTAGCTGAATACATACAAACATTACAATGTTTTCTTAACAAAGGGTCGAGATGATTAGAGACAGGCCAAATACCCTTTTTAATACTTCTGAGCCTGAATTTCAAGATTAATGTGAAAGTTAATCGTGAAGGATGGAGTTTTAATTAACTACAGACACAGCATACTGCTAGGCATTTTGTCCCTGCAGCAATGCCAAATGTTACATTTAATAGACACTTAAAATGTAATTGTATATGCGCTATGGTCACCTATGACTGGAGCCATGCATTATGAAATGTTCACATGTCCTTTATAAGCGCTTAATCAGTAACAGATATCCTCCATGTTAAAAGGGCCATCAGGTTATACATAATTCATAAAAATGCAAATGTGAAATATACGTTGATAGGTACCTGAAGTTTAACAATATCGCTCTACCATATAAATAAAATAATCCATCTTCTCTGGAATAAAAGTGGTTTGAATTTCTTATAAATTATATTATTTTTACATATAAGAATAAAAGGTGCCCCCCCCCTCAAGTCAGGGTCAAGCAGGATGGTCGAAGGAAGCTGGGTAATGATATAGTTTTAAACATGAGTTAAGAAAGTGTGTGTCTGTACAGTCTTCTTGGGCCTCAACCCCCCCGTTTCCCTCCCCCTTGGTATACACACACACACACACACACACACACGCGCGTTCTCATCCCATATGAATGAGTGTGCAGTAGCTCCAAGGAAAAACGGTGGGGGAGGACTGTCTGTGACAGGAACTGCAGGAGTCTAACTGAGGCGGTGTGCCGGCGGGGGGGTGTGGGGGGTGTTGAGCTGCTTCTCTGTACAGAGCAGGGCTTTCATTCGGGCCGTGGCAGCGGGACGGAGTGAGCCCCGATCACCAACAGCGCCTCGCCCCGGGGATCTGGTGTGCAGGC